TATTTATTTGCGTTTATTTTTTAATTTGTATATTTGTTTGTTTGTTATTTACGCACTATTTGTACTTAAACTTATATATAATTTATAATTTTATATATACAATTTTTATTAACCTCTTTGCTGTTAACTATCCTTCAAATCTTTTATTTTTGATTATTTTTCATTCATTGTGTGATTCACGTTTTATTAGTTTTCTAATTTCGAAAACAAAATTTTTTAGTTCGATATATTTTCTCGAAGTATTCTAGATGGAAAAAAGAAAAAATTTGTTTTTTTGTTGTCTAACATTTTTGTTTTTTTCGTGATCTTTTCTTGGACAAATTGTTACTGTTTGCAAGTTTGCTTGTATGTGTATGTTTGTCTGTGTTTTTATGTATCATTGCCCGATACATGCGTCGTTGTTTCTGAAGATTGGCAGTCAATACTTTATAAAAACGGTTTGTGGCTACTATAAGGAAGCAAAGAATCAGATCACTGTGGCTGTGCTATTGTTATGGATCATTAGAAGTAAATAATGAATAAATAAGTATATGTGTATTTATTTGTATATAGTTGTATAATACGTTCTTTACGTATGAATATTTTCTGCAAAATATGGAGCTTAAAGAAAAACTCCCGCGCTCGTGCATCGTCTGAAATAACCAGTGAGTGACCTCGTCTCGTATCAAAGCACACATATTGGTTGGCAGTTGCAGAACTGAACTTTTCGAGGAATTCAATTGTGGAGATTGTATATGATTGTTGTTACTGTCGGTATTGCTGCTGCTCTTGTTTTTGCTGTTGCTGCTGCTCCTGGTGGTGGCGATATTGATGCAAGTGATGGATTTTGTGTGACCTGAATGTGTGTGTACGGCCATCAAGAAGGAACGATAAAAATGAAGATTGGTGCAAGAAGTTTCTCCTGGCAGTATTTATGGGAAATCAAATTTCCCGCGCAAAATGCAAGTCTTGGAATGGATGACGCGCGCGAAATGTGAACTATATTCCTCCGTTACGTGATGCGTGTGTTGGAAAGAAAAGTAAAGCGTCGTTTGTCGCTGATCCTGCAGTAATAGCGGCCGCAGCTGCGTATACTCCATCAAGCCGTCGGCGTCGTCGTCATCATCATTAGTAGCAGTCTGTCAGTGTTGCGGTTTTTATAGTTGTGCTTGTTGTTTTTCTCGGAGGTCGTCGTAGTAGCGATGTTCGATCTTCATTTCCACAGAATGTTGTTCTCTACTTTTTTTTTTTCTGCGTGATATTCTGTTCGTTGACGTTTGCTGCCGGTTTCTACAATTAGAGACGGCACGATAAGAGAGAGGGGGAGGGAGAAATACAATTCGTGGAAGTGTCACAGCAGCTTTTTTTGCCTGGTCATGGTTTGCATTAGCAGAGGGAAAAAAAATAGAAAAACACTTTGCTTTAACTGGACGCGCGGACATCGTAGGTGGCGGCGACGACTGCGGCGACGCGGCAAAGCGGCTATTACTATATTACCACTAAATACCGCCAAGAATGTGGTTTTGAGGTGATGGGAATGAATTCAGCGCGCGTTTTCGAATGCGTTGCGTCCGTTTGCTAACGCACGCAAGCGGGAATAATTCAAGTTTTTTCTCGTCATATTTTACAATTTCAAATTTTAACAAATTTTTTGGCTTTAATCTTTAACTTTTTTGCATAAATATCATTGTACTTCAGGTGGATCATTTAATTTTGATTATCTTTGTTTGGCTTATAATTGTTGTATATACATGGTTGTAAATTTTTTTGAAGTGTTAATCCTTTTTTTTTTTTTTTTTGATTTTGTGAGAAACATTTTTTCCCTCCTTGCAAGTGCTTTTTTTTTTCTTTTTGATTTCTCTTCTATAAAAACAAGTAAATAAATGAGTTTATATATGTACATATAACCTGTTTTTAGTACGCAGATATAGTTAAAGGATATATTCGGGTTATTTTAAGCAGTATTAAATACATTTTGTGTTTTGGTTCCTTGTGTGATCAGTTTTCTTTGGCAACGTTCTTCTTTCTGAAGAGTTTCAACATGTCGACGTTATTTCCTGTGCTCTACTTTTTTAATCATGTACTTTTGTTCCAAGATCTTTTTGAAATTAAATATTTTGGATTTTTGTATTAATGCAGGATTTCGTGTGGTCTTTTGAATGCGAGTTTGAGTTGAATTTGAGGAGTGCTTTGAACAGTAATTAGCTAGGTTTTATTCTGCTTTTAGTGTTTAAGTTCGTGTTTTTCGTTCTAATAACTCGGACTTCATTTATTACTTTTTCTCAGACAAAAGTTCTTGCTTGCTGCACCATTCGTTAATATGTTAGGTAACTAGTTCGAGCTAGTGCATTTTTCTGAAGTACTGGTGCTTTTGCAGAATTGAGGGGGGATAGGAGACAGAATTTTCTAGTGTTCTGTGTTGTTTCAAGGGACAGTTTTTTTTTTTTTTAATTTGTGGATTGCATTTTTTTTTTTCTTGTTTTTACGCCTTAGTTCGGTTTTGAATCGGGAGTAGTAGTGGAGCAGGTTCTTTCAGGAGTACGCTCGTGAACCCATAACAAGGGAGCGAATACGGATGTCATCCACTGATGCTGAGGTAGCGAGCACAGAGCCGTCTGCTCCAGCAGTGCTCTCTAAGCCAGCTCCAGAAGAACAGCCTGGTATGTTTTTTGCTCATTTATTATCTTTTTATGTTGCTGAGTCTACCTCAAATGTTCGTCTTTCTTTTACAAAGGTTTTTTTAAAAAACGTAGCTATTTTATATATTTTCTGCGATAATTTTCAATTGGCCTTTTTTATTTCCGTTAATATTTGAGGGCTTTCTAAATTGAAAATTAGCCCTTTTTTTCTCGCTCTTAACACGCCTGTTATTATACTGTTATTTTTTGCCTGAATTTTAGCCTTTGTTGACTTTTGAACTATAGACCTGCCCCCCGTTTTTATTTCCTCTTAGTAATTGTTTTTTACTTTTACTGGTTTTACTAACATGATAATAAAAAGGCGACTTTGTTAGTTATGGGTCGCAAAGCATTTACGAAGTTTTTTGAAATCTGGTAATAGTGAGAAGCGTTAAAATGTGCTTTTTTTTTCAAAATCATTTTTTGAGTGCCAGACTCTGTCTATCCCCCCGTTTAGTAATCAAACCGTCTGGTGATGACGCGCCAACCACGAATGGCGAAAGCACGGAGGCTGTAAATGAAAAGAAAGATACCGATGCTCCTTTACAGGTTTCTATGGAAGAAGAGCCAAAGGAAGATTTTGATGCTACTCCTGTAATTATTTTTATTTATTCCGCTTCGTTTTCTTACTGAAATATTCCTTCATTTTGTATTTTGATGCCCTTGTTTATTTTAGTTTATTTACTTCAATCTAAGGTATGATTTTAATGTTATGAATCCTTTAGTTTCCAATTGTTTAGGTTAAAGGGAAATCTCAGGAGGAAGAATCAAGTAAGGATGGTAATGATATCAAAGATGATAAAGACGAGCCAGACCAGGGTAGCCTTAACGCGTCTGCTGGGAAAATTGAGAATGAGACCCCAGAGCAAGCAACGAAGGTTGAAGATGAGAAAGAAGAGCCCGTAGTGGAAAAAACTGAGGAGCCAACGAAGGAGGTAGAACGTGGTGGTTGGAAGCTGTTGGCGGACGAAAAGAAAAAGGATGAGGTGCTTCTTTGCTTTTCATTTTTCTAATTGTACTTACAATTTTCTTTCCTTTTAGTCTAGGTTTTATATTAGTAATGACGTGAAATATTCGTTTTCTTTGGTTGTTTATGTAGGTGGAATTCTAGGAGATGCCACCTGAAGCTCCTGAAACGGAACCTGAGCCCGAGAAAATGGAAGTTGATGAGAAGGTAGAATCCGAAGAACCATTGAAAGCCGAAGAGAAAAAGCCACCTGAAGAAGAGCATCCTCCACCACCAGAAAAGTCGGAAACTGAAAAGCATGAGACAGAGGAAAAGCCGGTGAGTTTACTAGAATAAGTTAATTTTTTTTATGGTTTGTACACTGAAAGTATGGTTGTGTTTTGAGGCTGAAAAACCATCTGAACCAGAACAGAAGACAGAAGTTATGGAAGAGAAGCCCGCAGAAGCACCTCAGGAAGGCGTAAGCCCAGAGAAACCTGTTGATAAGGAAGAGGAGGAAGAACGCATGCAGGTTGATGAAGGAGCGAATCCCGTTGAGGAAAACGTTGAGTCTGCCAAACCCGAAGTTTCCGCAGAACCAGAGCCGAAAACTCCTGAGGAAAAATCAGCCGAAGCAGACAATAAAGATGACAGTGTATGTCATTTCCATTTATTTTATTTGTATTACTGTAAGATTTGCAGTTCGCCACAGAATCACTGTTCCAGCTTCCTTTAAAGCGTGTACTTCCGAAATGGATGGTGCAAGATGCAAATGCTCCACCAAGTCCTAACAAAGAAGAACCTGGGGAAAAACCTGAACAAGTTGAGAAAGTTGAGGAATCAAAATCACCCAATGTGCCGTCTAGGGGTCGCGGACGAGGTAGAGGTAGGAGCGGTCGCGGTGCCGCTCGTACTCCACCAGCAAAACCACAGGTATTACTTTTCAGTAAAATACTAGACTGATTCGGTTTATTTTTTCTGAAAATCCTGGTTCGTTTCTGCATTGCCGTTTTTAGCCAGAAGTTAATGCAGAATCATTGTCTTCCGGACGGCCACGGCGTTCCACTCGTTCTACAGTGGATTACGCGAATCCAGATGTTGCCACAGTAGTTGCAGAGCAAGAGGACCTTGAGAATGAGGTTCTCAGTTTTTAAAATTTTCGTTTTGTCGAATCCTGTTCTTTGTACTGTATGGTACGCGCTTGAAAGTTCTGGAATGTTTGATTATCTTGTTCGTCTTCTTCAGTTGCAACAAAAAGTTACTCGTGGTCGGGGGCGTAATCGGGGCCGCGGAGCACACCGAGCTGGAAAACGAAGTGCTGATGACGATGATGACGGGGAAGACAGCGGTTCAGAATATGGCGGACCCTCTAGGAAGAAAAAAGCCCGAGGTAGCGCTTCTTACTCAGGAAATCGAAGCCGTGGACGAGGTCGCGGTCGGGGTGGAAGGACTCCAAGATCAAGTAACCGTTTGGCGAATTTAAAATTCATCATTGTTATTCGTGTTGCAGATACTCTTTACAAAATTTTTAGGCCGGGGTAAGAAAAAGGAGAAGGAGGAGAATGAAAGCGATGTGGAGGAGGAAGAGATGGATCTGGGGGATGATGATGCTGCATCTGATGGGTCTGCGGAAGAGACTTACAAGCCAACCGCTTCAAAGAGGCGGTCAGATACCGGTCAGTCAGCCAAAGCTTCACCTAAAAAAAGAGGTCGTAAGCCAGCTGGTGCAAAAGCTACAGGAGAGGACTAGTTTCTTTTGTAAGTCGCTGGTTCATATTTGCATTTCAAGTTAGTCCTGAAGGCGTTTTCACATCTCATTTTAGGCAAACGGCGGTCTAACTCGCTTAAATTGTTTATATAAAGGAGTCGGACGTTGTTCGAATGCATTGTGGTCGCACACTACACTGTTTATTGTT